CTAGGAGGTAGGCAATTGGGGGTGGGGAGTTTTCTATTTCTGTGTCCCACCCATCCTGCTGCACCATTCCTGGACTCCACCGAGGCGACTCTCCCCTCTCCCGTACTCCTGGGCACAGCATGGTGGCCTCATCCAACTGGGCTGGAAATCATGGGCTGACAGAGACATCATCAGACTCCCAACCTCTTCCACAGCCAGCCTGCTGACTGCACCTTCTAGGTGTCTCTAGAATCCCTCCGTTCACTATCTCCCTGCATCCTCCTGCCCCCAGTTGAGACCTCAGCCATTCCCAGCTGGCTCCCTGCCCTCCCCACCTCCACTCAGTCCTCTCAGCACTCTTTCTCCAAGATTTAAACACAGTGGCCCTTGCACAGCCCGAGTCTGCCTGGGCTCCCACTGCCCAGGATGAGTGCAGGCTCTCCAGCCCAGCCTTAGGCAACGCCCTCCCCTCCTCACACTGGAGCCAAATGCTTTCAGTAACCAAGTGCAAGACACTGTACACCAGCTCCCTGCAGGATCACTTCCCCAGTCTGGCACGACGGTGTGATTCTCTCAGGCACCGGCTCAGGCAAACGTTCCTGCCTGGGGTTTCCTGGCCTCAGCAGCGATCCCCTGGGTGGTCTGGGTGTGTCAGTTGTTGTCTGTCTGCTCCCCTGCCGGCCTAGTTGCCCTTCAGGGAAGGGGGGCCAGCTCTGATACACCTGTGGCCTCCAGGCCCAGAGCAGGTATCATGATGGTTTGTTGATTGAATAAGTAACCAGTGCCTCCCAGACAAGACTGGTGTGGAACAGGGGAGCGGGCGCAGGACTGGGGGTGCGAGCAGGGGCTGCATAGGCTGTTCCTGTAACTCCTCAGCTTGAATTAATCACTTACTCTCCCTGGAGCCCCATCCTTAAGATGGACGGGGTCAAACGGCCTCACAACAGCCTTCGAAAGGCAAGAGTCGACGGCCACTGTCTCCTTTGGGGTCCGGGGCTGGGAAGTTCCTCCAGGCATCTGATCTGCATCCCTCTTGCTACAGAGAAGGTGGTTCTGACACTGGGCTGCCTCCCACCGCCGCCCAGTCTCCAGGGGTCGCCGTGGGCACGGCCTGAGAACTGTCTTCTGTCCACCAAGGCCCTCACTGGCAGCATTAGAGTAATGAGTCACGGACAACAACTAAATTCATTAGCCCCGGTTATAAAAAGCTTTGCTTCCCCTTCCCAGAGTGAGCGAGCCGCCTTCTGATGCCAGGCTCCTCCACCCACTGAGCTGGGGCAGCAGAAGGGCTCACTTCACCTCTCTGGTCCTCAGTTTCCTGTTTCCTTATTTGTCAAGTGTGTGTCCTGGGGGGAGGGGGCCGTGTGAGCCAAGGCTCAGGGCAGGAAGGAAGGAGGCCAGCGTGGTCAGCGAGGAGGGGGCTCCTACCCAAGCTCCCCCCGCCCCCGCACCCTCCCCGGGCTCCACTCCGGTCCTGCAGGGCCAGGCCCAGCCAGGGCAACACAGAGGGTCCGTTGTGTGGCAGGGAAGACACTCCCCACCTTGTCCAAAACGCTCCTGGTCCAGTGCTCTTTCTCCTGCATCAGGCAACTTCTCATGTCCTCTCCGCCCTTCTGTTCTTTTCCCTCTGGCAAGCTCTCACGAAAAAACCAGCTGGACTCAAAACACAGGACTCCTCCCTACAGCCTCCATCTTCCAGAGGCTCTTGCTGCAAACCTGTCCCAGACTGCAGGTGTGACATGGCCTCGGTTTCTGACCTATAAGTGGGGGCATAGAAACTAAACACGCCCCACAGGGGTGTTACACAGCGAACAGGGCAAGGCATGTAAGCCATATGCTCCCCCAATACAACGGGTGCTCAATACACGCTCACTGCTAGCCTCCCACTTCACTCCCCAGCCTCCTGCCTCTGACTCACCACCTGTCTATCACCCCATTTCACAGATGAGGCCCAGAGAAGTGGGCTTCACAGAAGAACTTGACCCCAGGCTTCTGAGTTGGGAGATGCAGGTGGGGCGGAGGGTTCCCCTAAGAGGACCTGAGGGGAGGGAGTGCCTGGGCCAGTGCCCAAAGGAGAGGGCGCGGTGGGGATGAGGAGAGGCAGAGGCCCGAAGTTGGACCCCACCCCTTTGCTGAGGCCTCTCCTCCACCCCCAGCCCCAGTGGCTCTCCCCTCCCTCCCCAGCCTGTGCTCCCGGAGCTCGCTCCAGGGCCTCCATTTGTTCAGTAAAATTACGGAGCACCTTCTCGGCACCAGCCCTGACTCTGAGACACCAGATGGCTGTTCCCTTCACTGTGTCAGGCCAGGGAGCTAGCACCCCATCACAGTCCTCACCCAGCTGTCTCCGAGGGACTGGGAGAGAAAAGAGAAAAGGGTGAGCAGGCTGAGGCTGAGGCTGAGCCCAGGAAGTGGGAGGGGAAGCAGGAGCGGAGTGAGTGACAGGGAAGGCGGTGGATGCTCATCCTTGGCTCAGAGTCTCAGGGTCACCTGAGGTGAGCTCAGCCCCTTCTGCAGAGCCCTCTCCCCTCTCCCAGCCACTGGCTAGCTCGTGACCTCCTGCAACCCTTCCTGCTTCTGCCCCACACCTGGCCCCAGACCTTGGTATTTGCAGAGCCTGCACCAGGTAGGCTCCCAGTCAGCTCAAAACCAGCCCCAGCCCCACTTCCTCCACTCTGGGCCCTGTGCTGGCCACAGCCAGGACGCATCACTTCCTGACCCCACAGCCTAGGACTGGCTGGCCCGTGCACACCAAGGGGTGTGTTCTGGGAGACACACCTTCCTCCAGGGCCTACTGCCACAGCCAAGGGACTGTCTGCGTGGAAGCTCAGCCATTCGCTCCCTTCCTCCGCCTCAGCTGTCTCCCCACCCCCACCAAGAGCTTTCCACCTACACTGCCTGGGGTCACACCTGAGCTCTGCCCCTTACCCACTGGTATGACCTGGGCCAAGTCACTGACAACCTGGCTTCTGTTTCCCCTAGTGAAATGGTGGCGGTGACACCCAGATCCCGGGCGGGTGAGTGCTCAGCACAGCGCCTGGCACAAGACACACAGGTGAAGCTCACTGCTGCCCTCCCGTCTGCCTTTCCCGACACAACACGACACGACACGACACGGGGAGGCCTGGCTGCCAGGGCCCCAGTCTGAGGGGAGAACGGAGTTCAGAGCACAGCGGAGTGGCTGAGGAATTCTAAAGTCTTAACCCTACCCCTCCTCCAGTCAGAGTGGAGAGGCCGGGGCGTGGGCCTCGGGAATCTCTGGTCTTCATGACTAGTCACAGCTAGCACCGTGCTGGCCACTTCATGTCGCTATCGCATGCCGTCCGCCCGGCAGGTCCTTGAGAGGTGTGAGTGCTATTTCATGGGTGAGAAAGCTCAAAGTCAAGCGCATACTGTGGACAACAGAGGGGCCCAGTCGTAAACCTAACCGACAGTAACCTCACGGGGTGATCTCATCACACATTCCTAACTGGGCGGGACATGGTGAACAGTCACACCCCAGGCTCATAACTGCCTTAGCACAAGGTTTATCTTTGCCTCCGGCAAGCCCTGTCCATTCTTTCCGTGCATCTAGGTTAACACACTGTTTGCGATGCCTTTTGCAGACCCCTGGGAAGTGGAACTAACCTGAAGGGAGCCCATGATCTTGTTAACGGTCCTGGAGTCAGTGCCGGCCCTGCTTTCTCCCACCCTCATGTGATCTTCCCTCCTTAATTCTAAACGCATAAGAGAAGCCGCAGAACTGGCATTCTCCGGAGCAATCTGAGACCGTGCTCCCCAGCACTGCCGTCAGTTTGGCTCAAATAAAGTCTATTAAAATTCTCTACAGGTTTGGACGTTTCTTACATCGACAGTCCAAGCAGAAGAGGCACAACTTGAACTTGAGGTCTGCCTGACTCCTGACCTCACAGTCTGCACCACTGTCGGGGAGACCCTATGCCCACACAAGACGAAAAGGCTGTCCCAGGCAGGGCCGCGGTCCCAGCAGGGCAGGACCTGCTCTGTGACTTGGGCAGGCCCCTTCCGCTCCTTTGCCTCAGTCTGCCATGTTGCCTCTCTGCTGGGAGTGGGGACATGACCATGAATCAGGCCAGGTACCCACCAGGTACCTGCTTCTCACCATGTGGGAGCCATGAGCACAGGCTCCTGACTCATCCAGCACTTCGTCCCTCACTGTCACAAGCAGAGAAGCAGGAGAGACAGGGGGCAACTTCCCCCCCGCCCCCCATCCAGGTAGCCCTGAGAGGCCTGCCCTGCCCTTAGCTGCCACCCCGACCCTTGGCCACTCCCGCCTGTTTGCGGACTATCTGACTTTGGAAGCTGGCTTCTTTGTTCAGACAAGGAAGGAAGAAGAAAGTTGTTTTTCAGGCAGCAAAGCTCTTAGATAAACACGAGTTATCTCTCTCTCTATTCCTTCTTAAAGGAATTGGGTTCCTTCAGAAAAGAAACTAGATTCACCGGCTGATAGCGCCCAGGGATGGAGTGGACCTGGAGCCTGGCTGGGGAGCGGACACTGAAGGAGGCTTTCTTATCCGGCCGAGCACCTGCTGCCAGGTCTGGCAGTCCCGTGGCTCAGGTGACGGGGCCCTGGTGCCAGGCCACAGCCTTGCCAGCTCCCGGGCTCCCAATGGCCTGGCCCACCCCCTCACCCTCCCCTCCAGCCACCCCCACTGCATGCCGGCCAGGCTGGATCTGCCAGAAGCTGAGAACTTCTGTTCACCTTGGGGTGACCCCTTCCTCCTGCAGCACCCCTCCTGGAGCACCCCCCCCCCCCCGCCCTGCCCTCAGGAGCAGACCAGCCCCCCTGCTGTCAGAAGAGAGTTAACAGCTGGGTATTTCCACAACAGAACGGCCTTCCCCACCTGGTCAGAGAGATTCAAGAATTGCCATGGGCCCATTTTACAGAAGGAGAAGTGAAACCCAGAAGGGGCCCTGACAGAGCTGACGTCCCTCTCTCCCCCGCCCCCCCCCCCCCGACTCGGGGGCTCCCTGGGTCCTTTTGCCCAGGTCCCAGTGTGGCTCACCGGTGTGGTGTCATCATGGGAGCGCTGGTAGCGTTTCCAGCGGCAGCCGTAGATGCCCGTGAGGCAGGAGAGGCACAGCTGGGGCTCGTAGTACTGCAGGGGCTGGTGTCTTACCATGCTCGTGCCCGAGGCCCTGGTGCCCGGCCCTCAGGAGCCCATGGGGGCCTCAGGCTGGTTCTGTGGGAGAAAGCGCAAGGCTGTGAGGCAGGGGAGGGGCGAGGAGTCAGCCCTGGACACCGCAAAGGTCACGGTAGCCGAGGTCAGCGCCGCACAAATCCCTGCAGTGGGTCCCAGGCCCACCTGGAGTCCGAGGCCCACCCTGCAGGTCTCCCAGGACGGTCCCTGCCACCCTCCCCTGATCTAATCCCCCGCTCAGCCACTACACTGCTGCTGCCTCCTCTGCCTGGAAGGCTCTTCCCTTAAGAACCCGCATGGTTCCCTCCTCCCCCTCCTCCCTCTCCTCCCCTCAGGTCTTTGCTCAAATGTCTGTCTCAACCAGATGTCCCCAGGTCATCTTCCGTAAAACTGCAACCCCTTCCCCTACCGCTCAGCCATTTTTAGCTTTATTTTCTCAATCATAATTTACCTTTTTTGTTTCTCATCTGCCTATCCCACTATGATGTACGTTTCATAAAGGCAAGGATTTTGTCTGCTTTAGTCTCTGCTATATGCCCAGTAACTGGAACAGAGCCTAGCACACAGAACTTTCCAAATAAATATTTTAAAATAAATTATCATAAAAAATAAATAAATTATCATAAAAGCTGACATGTACTGAGCATTTAAAATATTCCAGGCCCTGTGCGAACACTTTATAACCATCTCCCTGTCTCAAGTGGAAGGTACTGTGTGTCCCAAACCCATTTGACAATTGAACAAACTGAGGCTCAGAAGAGAAGGGGGCAGCGCCTGGCCTGCGGTCACACAGCTGGGTGTGGTCAATCTGGGAATCTGGAGCCCTGACGAGTTCAATCCTTCAGGCTCAGGGAGACCCAGCCCAGCAGGGCTCGTGGGTAGAACTATGGGATGTGTCTAGTGGGTTGAGTTGCTACCACCAGGAGCAACTGCCCCAGCCCTGCTTGGTGCCCTGGACCTACCAGCTGGGGCTCAGTGTAGCCAGTGGCCATTGGCTGGGGCACCTCACACACCCTGATGTCAGGCATCATCCGACCCTCAACACCCCTGTTATCATTGTCCCATTTTAGAGATGAGGAGCGTGGGGCTCAGAGCAGCAAACGTTTTACCCAAGGAGCCAGGACTCAGCTCCTGGTCTGTGGATTCTAGACACTGGAGCCATTTGCTTTGTACCAGACCCTGTCCAAGGCTCTGGAGACCATGTGGACAGGACAGACGCAGTGACCCCTCAGGGCCCTCACAGGACCGGCGAGGGGCACGAGCAGGCCCACACTAGGCTCCAGGCACCAGTCCAAGTGCTGTCCATATCCTAACTCTAACAGCAACCTATGGCGTAAGTGTTATCATTATTTTTTTATTGAGCTATAATTCACATGCCATAAAATTCACCCCTTTAAAGTGTACAATTCCGTATTGAGCATTTTCGGCTTTTAGGATAGTCACAGAGTTGTGACTAATTCCAACGCATTTCATCATTTCAGCAACAACTCCATACTCACCCGTCCACCCCGCATCGACCCCATTCCCACCCCTGAAGCCCTGACAATCACTAATCTACCTTCTGTCTCTATGTGCCTAGTCTGGGCATTTCATATAAATGTAATCACACAATATGTGGCCATTGGTGACTGGTTTCTTTCGCTTAGCACCATGTTTTTAAGGGTCATCCATGCTGTAGCATCAATCAGTGCATTCCTTTTTGCAGCTGAAGAATACTCAATCAGGTCATCTTACCCACTCGCCAGCTGATGGACATTTGGGTTGTTACTGCTTTGTGGTTGTTACGAACAACACTACTGTGAGCAGGTTTCTGTGTGAACATGTGTTTTCATTTCTCTTGAGTCAGTACTTTGGGATGCAATTGCTGGGTCATATGGTTTAACCTTTTGAAGAACCGCCAAAAGCTGCTTCTGCAAGCGGCGGCACCATTTCATATCTCAAAGTACTATCATTACCATCTCCCTTGCACAGATGAGGAATATGGAGCACAGGAGGGTTTAGCTATTTGCCGTAGGTGACACGGCAGAGCCAGGCAGTCTGGCTCCAGGAGGGGCCTTGCTCTCACCCAGGGGTTGGCAAAAGGTAACTCAGGGGCCGTATCTGGCCAGCCACCTATTTTTGTCTCCCATCCAAGCACTAACCAGGCCCGTCCCTGCTTAGCTTCCAAGGTCAGGCGAGATCGGGTGCGTTCAAAGTGGTATGGCCATAGATAGCCAACTATTTCTGTACAGCCCATGAGCTAAGAATGATTTTTACATTTTTAAAGGATTGAGAAGAGAAAAAAAATCAAACAAGAACACATTTGTGGCACATGAAAATGATAGGAGAGCCACATTTCAGTGGATCCATAAATAACGTTTCATGGGAGGCAGCCAGGCTCGTCCGTTTATGTATTGTTATGGCAGCTTTAACTGTAACTGCAGAGCCGAGGAGTTACGGCCGCATCCATATGGCCCACAAAGCCTAAAACGCTGCCTGGCTCCTTCACAGGGAAAGTTCGCTGACCCCTGAACCACCGGGCCGTAATGGCTCATAAGTGCAGCGTGTGGTGGAGAGAGGAAAAGGAGGCTGTGGGCTCTTAACACAGGGCAGAGAGGGTCAGGCCACGCTTCCTGGAGGCAGCGCTGAGCTGAGGCCTATAACATGAGCTCCTTAGATGCCTCTTCTCTTTTTTTTCCGCCCCACCCACACCAAGATGCCTCTTTCTAAATGCCCAGGGGCTGCACCACAGGGGCACCCAGGGTTTCAGGCCCAGCCCCTACGTCCACCTCTGGGCCTCATTCGGGACCTCTGCCTCCCACCCCCACCAAATGCTAGCCTCAGCACAGGGCGTCCAGCCTCCAGTCTGAGGAGAAAGATGCATTAGGGGCTTGCTGGGAATATCGACTGACCCAGGGCCTCCTAGTTGCTGGAATTGTGCGGTGCAGTCTCTGGGCCCGTGGTTCCCTGGGGAGCCGTGAGAACATGGTGCAGCTGCTGGGAATTCTCTGCGTCGAGCCGAGCCGAGCCGTGGGCTTGGGGGACATAAGGAATGGGGATGCTATTGCAGTCAGCTTAGCATTAGCTCCCGTGGGGTTGGGGAGGCCTGGGGCGCAAATGGGGGATGCTCTCGGCTTTACGCAGCCAGATCTCATCCAGTGCGCCCCCAGATTAGGTCGACCACCACATTTGCCCTCACGAAGGGCGGGGGCAGCTAATATTTAGGAAGAAGCCTGGATTCATCCTGTGTCAGCCGCTGACTTGCATAGTGGCTGAGGCCTCTCAGGGCTCTTCCCTGAGCCTTGCTTTCTGAATCTGTAAAATGGGGTAACAGCCTTCGCCTTGACTTCAATAGGGGCCAGATTTTGCGGGGAGGGTGCCAGGAGGGACCATGGCTGCAGTGACTGAGCACCGCAGGTGGGTGCTCCGCAAGCAGAAGCCCAAGCCCAGGTGCCCGTGCCCTCCCACTCCTTTCCCAGGACCCCTTACCCTGGGACTGGCTCCCATGTGTCCTCCGTCCTTCCCTGCTCGCCCACCCCCGCAGCTGAGCAATACAATCCCTAGGCATGGAAATTCCATTCAGGTCTGAAAAAGAGGGAAGCAGAACTGTCTGCACTGGGCCTCAGCCCAGGACTCAGCTGACTGTGGCTCTTGGAACCGCCTCTCCCCAGGAAAATGTTCACCCTGTTCATAACGTCAGGCACTCTTTGGGAGGCAAACCTCTTCTCTTTTCTTTCCACGCTCTGCTGGGGTCATCTCGTCCACTCCCACGGCTTCGGTTACCAGGTGCAGCCAAGGCCACCCAATCTTTGCTTCTCCATCAAGATAGAGGCTTCTGGCTGTCTCCGGGGGTGCACTTGGCCCTGCACAGACACTGACCTCCTCACCACCCCCAGTCTGCTTCTCATATCCCTCAAAGCCCTTTTCTCACCATCCCATTGGCCACTGCCCTGGGAAAGGAAGGCACTGGCCATCAATCCAAGCTCCCAACTGAGCCAGCTAAAGATTTTTTTGTTTGTTTGTTTTTTCGGTTAATCCTTACCTGAGGATATTTTCCCATTGATTTTTAAAAGGTGAAAGATTTATGCGATCTGAAGATAAACCAGAGTATTTCCCATTGATTTTTAGAGAGAGTGGAAGGGAGGGGGAGAGACAGAGAGAAACATCTATGTGAGAGACACATCGACTGGTTGCCTCCCACACGTGGCCCTGGCGGGGGCCGGGGTTTGAGCCTATAACCCAGGTACATGCCCTTGACCAGACTTGAACCCGGAACCCTTCAGTCTGCAGGCCGACACTCTACTGAGCCAAACTGGCTCGAGCTAGAGAAAGATTTTTAAAGGCACATGATCAGGCCCCTCCAGTTCCTCTAGCCTCACCACTCCAGAGCCTGCTGTCCCTTCCAATCTCAGCTCAGATGACATCTCCTGACCCTTCCAATCTCAGCTCAGATGTCACCTCCTCCAGGGAGCCTCCTGGGAGCCCAGGTTTGGTTAGAGCCCTCCCCAGCCTCCCATAGCCCTGAGCATCCCTAATGCTTCCGGGCACCCTGTGTGAGCTCCGTGGACACGTCCCCCCCATCGGATGGCCTGAGTTATTCCTACATCCCCAGTGGCCAGCACCGGGCAGCAAGAGGAGGAGGCACAGGGCTCCTGGACTGTACAGCCGAGGAGGCCTGGAAGTTCTACTAACAGAAAGTGCCGCTCAGACGCTGGGCATTCAGACAAGCTCCCGGAGACCAGACCCTGCCCCCGCCCCCCTCTCTTCCCGCCAGGGCAATGGCATGACTTAGGATCAATTGATTTCTCCAAGCCACCTCCCAGGGCATCAGCCAAGTTGGCAAGAAATCCCCTACCCGGAGCCCCTGCTGACTCTGGGACAAGAGGTAGCCCCCACCTCTGAGCCCCACCTCTCAGTACCAAGTCCTGATTTGTCTGAATTCTTGGTCCCTGCCCTGAACTCCTGTTTGCACAGGGAAGGGCCTTCCAGGAGTCCAGGCCTGAGAAGCACGGAGTGCCTGCTACAAAGCTCCTGATGTCCCGGGAAGGCACCCAACCCACTTC